GGTGAAGGGTCAAAGAAAAAAAGACCATCAACAAGATGGATTCACATAGTGACTGGACAAAGGACTGGTGCGTGTACTAGAGATAAGGAGGATGGCACAGGACGGGGCAGGTTTCAGATCTGTTATTCACTGCTATGCACAGTCATGGAGCCACAGTCAATTCCATGTCATATAACAACAACAGTGGACCCTCTTAGAGAACACCAGCCTTGGATCTCAGTCTGAGGGGACTACTGGAAATAACCATATAGATCCGTAGGGAAAGAAAAGACTTTGCTTCTATCTTGTTTTATAACACACTTGGATGACATAAGCCTATGGTTTGGATGTTGGGTCTGTACATAGACACGGGGCGGGGTGGGGGGGAGAGACAGGAGATGGGAAAGAGAGAAACAAAAGCAGTGTGGTGAGTGAATACAATCAGGGAAACTAAGGGAAAAGAGAAGGTGTGTTCATTAATCTGTTTTTTGTCTTTAGTTTTTTAACTTGCCTGGGACCCACTCCTGATTTCACCAGCTTTAATAGCTGTGTGGACTTTGACAAGTTAATAAACTTCTTTAAGTCTCAGTTGCATCCATGAAAATGGAGATAGAAGGATCACTGTGAAGATGAAATAGTATAATGAATTAAAACCATTACCTTTCAGGCTTATGATCAATATCAGGGCTCACCTGAGGACCTCAGTCATTTATATTTGCTGAGTACCTGGTCAGTCTATCATTTCTATCACACACTGGCTCTTGACATTTTAACAGTACAAGATACATTTGCTATTATACAATTTAGTCATATAAATTAGAGGTTATCTAACATGCTCAAACAAAATTAAAAGAATTCTTTAATTTATGGGGAAACACCTCCCCTTTTGCCTTTGGGTCGATTCTGATATATCTCTCTAGGACAGAGGACTACTCTATGCTAGGGCTTCCTGGGCTGCACTCTTCACAGAGGCATGCTGCCACATCATTCTTTCATGGAGCTGCTTGTGGATTAGAACTGCCAAGCTCTCCGTTAGCAGCTGAGAGTTCATTTAACCACTGATCAACCAGGTCTTCTTTAGTGTATGCTACTTTCTACATTAAGTAACTCCTAAAGGCCCACCAAAACATTCTCATGGAAGAGCATACATTTTGCTAAGACAATAGGAATCCAATATTTGTATATAGAATTCTCTCAGTTATGGAGTGATGACAGGAACACCATCGTACAACGCTGTACGCCACGGTTTTTCATTCTGCAAACATCAGCTTCACAATTTCATTCATTCAGTCATTTACTGTTCTTCATTCATCTTTCCTTCCAACAGTGCTTTTACCCTGTGTTCCCATGGGTGGGTTATTCTTTTTCAGAATTAGCACAAATATCCACAATCTACCTTAACTCACAGCACTTGACTGATGTTAAGCTCCTTATTCTGGCGAGTCCATGTGCCTTTGGGAAGCCAGTGTTTTTCCACAACACTGCCCACTTTGGGGCTGTACATGTGCCTGCTGAACTGCTCAGACACAAGATGTGCTAATTTTGCTGTGGTGGTTTTGTTTGAGGGCTTAGATAGTTTAAGCCCAGACACTGACAGATGAATATAGTGTAAGTGCTTTATGGCAGGTGAGAATTCTATAGCAGGAATCAAATTAGAAGAGTTGCCTTTTCTTAAGACTAAGATAAAAGGAATACATAATAAGAAGATACAGGCAGCAAGAGGTGGGATTAAAAAGAGGTTCTTTGAAAAGTGTTAACATCTTTCTTTGAGAAAAAGTATTTCACAATTTTCTCATTGTCCAATTTCAGGGAGTGAATGGCAGTTTTGAATGCAGTAAGACTAAAAAAAACCTCTCAAAACCAAACACACTGCCTTGGAGTAGACTAACTGATAGTCACTAGGTATTAAGACTAGATTGGAGCAAACAAATAGCACCAGCAGCAACCACAACTAAAGAATACAGTCTATGAACATTTAAATTTACTCCCATAGGTACTCGGATTCTCTTTGGTCACTGCTTGCTGTTGGCTACCCTCGTGTTGGCCTTAACTGTATGACAGAGTACACTATTTCACTAAATCCAGTTGTGTGTCAGCCTTACCTATGCAAGTGAGTTGGAGAGTCACACTGAAATAAAAGTTTATGGGAATTTAAGAATGATTCAGTCCAAGTTTAAGCGTTTCAACAGTTTCAGGGACTTTAGGAATGATTCAGTCTCAACTACCCATTTCAGAGATGAGACAAATGAGGCACAGGGATTTGCAGAGTGGGCACTAGAAACTTGCCCTGATTCTCAAAACTTATTCTTTCCACAAACACAAGCAAACCCTCTTCACTGTAGAATTAGGCACTAACATCAAGACAAGGAAACCATTATAATTAATGGCTTCAGCTGAGCAACAGCCAGGTTCTCATCAGAAATGTAGTCAATGACTATGGTGATCGGTCATTCTCGACTATTCAGTTTTATTAGCTCTGAGGACAAGCATTATGGATGAAGGCACAGCCGCCAAGAGTGCCACATCAAAGGTTCAGGAAAACCTGGAGCCTGCCAACAGTGAATGCAAAATTATGAGAATTTCTAGGAAAAGAATTCAGAACTTCCCTTAGATTCCCAGAGTGGCAGGAAAAAGGGGATCAGAACTGTTACTAAACATGAAAAAGAAAACTTTATTTAAATTGAATGGTAAATCATCATGATGATATAAAGTAGTTGAAAAGCCTTTTTTAAAAGCTAAGAAAGAGGCTCTTTTGGGCTGGAGTTTTTGACTCACAGAATATGGACTTAATGAGAGATGAGGAAAATACGAAAGATACTCATTTCCCACAAATGCACATGGAAAGTAAAGACTGGTTAAACGTATGGCACATTCCAATTACATCAAGTTTATATGCTACTGTAATTGAAATGATAGCAAATTGCATAGAAGTGTACTGCTAGCTTTTGGTCTAACCGAAGAACTCCGAGCGAAGGGCTCTGCCGATCTAGGTTGCCTTCGCTTTGCCAGCATCTAACATGGTGTCTGGCACCGGCAGGCTATGACCATGGCCTTCTCATAAAGAGAACATTGCATTTTGGGGATCTGAAAAGGCCCATAATTTATAAATCACTTTACAATTGATGAATCAGGTCAAATGGGTAGAAGCGTGTACAAACACCTACCACTGTTCTGCTGTGAAGTGGCTACAGAACTCAAACAATGCTAATGTTTCTCTTTCTTGTTATGTGTGGTTAGGAAGCCTGCTCCTGTGGCCAGGATAAGGTGACCTCGTTGAGTGAGGTTAACTTGGTCAGTTCAAACTAGCAGAAAGCAGTCCACGGAACAGAAGTAAAACTGAATGTGCTCTGGTCCGATAAAGATGCATTTATGGACCTACCAACACCCTATGTTGTTGTGTTGTGTACCGCTGAGTCGGAATCCACCCTAAGCTGACTCTCTAGTGAGTTTTCAGAGGTAGTTAATTGATCGCACAGAAGGAGAATGTCCATCCTTCTCCCGCAGAGCAGCTGGTAGATTCAAACCTCATGCCTTTGGGATTGCAGCGCAGCTTCTTGCCATCTGGCCACCAGAGCTCTCTATAGGTGCTTCAAAGCAGGCTGGGGAATTGTGCATTTCATTAACTTACACATGGGGTCCCGGTGAGTTCTAGGTTAAATGGACAGCAGCTAACAGCAACAACAATACAGGAACCCTTGTGGTATAGAACATTATGTGTTGGATAAGCCAGTTGAAGCGATCAGCGTCTCTGAGGATAGATGACTGGGTACACTGCAATTTATCCGGCCAGAAACCCTGTGGAAGACCACTGTGAGTTGGAACTGACTTGAATGCAGTGGCTTTCTAATTTTTTTTCTTTTTAAACAAACAACAACAACAACAGTGGCTTTATCAAAGATGATACAAAGTCTTTAAGCCACACGATACACATCGGTAAAACTGGGTAACACCACTTGCTAATTTTATCATTGTGACTAGCAGACTAGATAATACACAGGAAACTGTTTTGAAAATTTTATAGCTTGCATTACCCTTTACACAGGTAAGCAGTTTTCTAGACTAGAAAACAATTTTTCTTCTTCTCAAAGATCAATCTGTGATTATTAAAATTTGGCTGCCCTAGTCATCTAGAGTACACAGTATGTTGGGGAAAAAACAAAAACAAACCAAAAAAACCCAGCCCAAACTGTTGCCATTGAGATCATTCTGACTCACAGCCATCCCATGAGTGACAGAGTAGAATTGCTCCATTGGGCATTCTTGGCTGTAATCTTTATAGAAGCAGTTTGCCAGGCCTTTCTTCTGCTGAGCAGCTGGCTCAGTTTGAACAGCTAAATTAGCAATTGATTGCAAACCACTTGTACCACTATAAAGCCATATAAGAGATGTTCTACTTCAGAGAGAGAAATGCAAACGACAGCATAGCTTTGAAATACCTACATATAAGAACTACACAGAAAATACCTCTCCATTTGACCTTATTTACTTGACATAAAAAATAAACGAAATTGTTAGCATCATTGGAAAACCATTGAGTCCTACAAACACACAGTCCTGGATATGCTGTGTGCTGTTAGAGAATTAACTTCAACTCTCTGAACTTTAGATCTCGCCTTTTTTTTTAAAAGCATAGATTGAATCTTTCCTATGTCAAAATCAGCTATCAAATTCAGTAATTCCAGGTTATATTTTATTTGTAATAAATAGTCCAACATCCCTGCTTGACATATAGGTATCTTGGGAGTGTTAAACTGGGAGACTTAAGACCCAGAGAGGTTTTGCAAGAATAAAGAAAGGCAGTCAGTGCGCTCAAGAACAAGCTGGGCACAGAGAGAAAGAGTGAGAGAAAAAAAAAATCCAGAAACGCACTGAATATTTTTGAGCGATTCTCCCTTGTACTAAAAGCAGATGTATTTAAAATATTATCATTCCAAGTTAACCCTGCCCCCTTCAACTTATGACCTTTCGGTTTGCAGCCAAACATGTAACGCGCTAGGAGACTGTTGTACTCCATTCTTTAGGGTCCACTAAGAGTCTAAATCGACTAGGTGGCAATGGGTTTGGCCCTTACGTGTCTATTTGTAATCACCACTTCTCTGGCTACTCCAAAAAAGTAAACCAGTCCCGGGCTAAACCACAGGTACCATATTCTACAAACTAAGCAAACTTTGCTAAGACTGACTTTCCTCCCCCCACCCTTCTCCCACCCCACCCAGTCTGAGCAACTTCTTGACCCGGGAGGGTGCCACCCTCCAAGGCCTGGCAGGCGCACGTGGGGCCGGCCGGGCGCACCGAGCCACGTGTCCGCCGCCCCCGCCCTCGTCCCGGGGCCGCAGGGCGCCTTCCAACCCCGGCCCCGCCGCGTCCCCGCCGCCGCGCAGGAGAGGGCGGAGAGAGGGAAGAGCAAAGCCGGGCATACCTGCGGGGCCCAGAGCGGCCTCCTTCTTCCCGCGCTCCTTTGTTGAGCGCGCGGCGCCGTCTCCTCCCTGCCGAGGCCGCCCGCGCTCCGAGGTGGCCGCCGCGCTGCGCCCGGGCTCGGCGGCGCACAGGAAGCCCGCGCCTGCGAACGCGCGACCCTTTTATAACCCACTTGTGACTCATAACCGATCAGACGCCTTTGCTGTAAAACCCCCCGCCTCGCCCCCCTCCTGCGGGTTCTTGGAACCTACGGCTTGAAAAACTTTTTTCTTTTTAAAGGAAAAGTCGAAAAAGCCCAGCGCCCCAGGATTGGTGTTTTCCCCCCTTTCCCGTTCTCATGGGTCATTCTCGGTGTGTGTGTGGTGTATTTTTTTTCTTCTTGTTCTTGACAGGCTACGTACTTTCCTGCCCCAACTCGGCAAGGCTCGGGCTCCAACCTTTGTTCTTAATTAAAAAGGAAACGCATTCAAATGATGGCCCAGATGCATCTCCGCTGCATTCGGTCCACTGGAGGGGAAGTTGTGACATTTTGCAAGTGGAGTGTCTTTACTCTGTCCTTACAGCCGAGCGAAGACCTTTACTCTTCAAAATAACCTGCGGGAGGCAAGCAGACCCGGTTAAGAGGAAGAATTGACCCCCCAAGCAACCCCTCCTTAAACACTTTACCCCCTCACCTTTGCTTAGCGCTTGGGTATATTTAAATCTTGCCTATTACCCAGATGTTTACTATGAGAAAAGTAGGGTGGTGGGGCATGCAGTGAGGTTGATTCCAGCTCTTGGTGATCTTTGTAGCACTGAGTGGAACTGCCTCATAGGGTAGGGCTAAGAAGCTGAATCTTTATGGGTATAGACCTCCGGCTCTTTTCTACCTCGGAAAAGCTGGTAGGTTCCACTGTGGGCCCATTAATAGCCTAACGCTTAACCATTGAATCACCAGGGCCTCCTTAGATCTGTCCTGAATCTTTTGAAATTTTGGACTCAATCAACACCCTTTTATAGCCTCATCCTAAAGAATATTCTAGAAACTTTTTTTGAGGGTAAGTAATAATGATAGATTTATTAGAAAGTTACAACCCCAAAGGGATGGACCTTCCTCCTTGAAAGGAGATGAGGAGAAAAGGCCCAGAAACATATTTTTAATGTCATTTTTGGCTTTATCAACTCTGTCCTTTCCTCACTCTTAAAATAATTTCTGTCTGTAGCAGGTCATTTGATACCCTGAGTGGAAATGTTCAGCATTTCTGTCATGTGTCTTGGTTTAGTAAACTTTCACACTAAAATGTGAAAAAAAATGTGACCTGGAGGAGTGGAGGCAGGGAACTACAAGAATGGACCATGTTGATCACCATGGTGTGACTCATGACTTTGGTAGATAAAAGAGGCCAGGGCTGGATTCCAGAGCAAGTCTCATATACCTGGACTGTCCATCCCAAAGGCTGAAAAGGTTTTAGAACAGTTTATAGTAATGAGATGCCAGAGAAATAATTTTTAGAGCCTCTGAATGAATGTCAATGCACAATCACATGGTTCTTAATTTTCGGATGATGTAGGTTGGGTAAGAAACCTAGAAGCATTTAAGAAGATTCTAATCCTTAGCTTTGAACGTTCCCTCTTTTTTATGATTTTTTTTTTTTTTTAAAGTGAGAGTAATGATACAACTCACAGTTACAAAGCATTTGACCACTTACCAGGCACTGTTCTGAAACTCTTAGATGAAGATTGTAGTCTCAATCTTCACTACCTTACATCTTAAGGAGAAGGAATATTATATCTCTTTCCAAACAAAGTCCAGAGAGATCAAACAATTTCCCTGAGAACATCTTAGGATGTGAAACTGAGCTTGGTTCTGACTCAGCTGTTTGGCTCTATCATCCTGGTATGATGATTGTTAAATCCCGGCAGCATCCAGGGTCTGGGGACAGCGGTGCAGTGTGGTTAAGGGATGAGGGAACACATAGGTAGGCTGGGGAAAGGAAGCATGAAGCCAAACTGGGTGGCTGTGTTCTCCACCTGGTTATGTTGTGTTTTTCTGTTGCCATAAGATTGGTTATGACTCATAGTAACCCTATGTGCAACAGAATGAAACACTGTCAGGTCCTTCACTGTCCTCACAGCTCACAGGCATTAATTCTTCTGTTATCCTTTTTCACTATCCAGCTCTCAGCAGTGTAACAAGTGATTGAAAAGACAACGGTTTGAATAAGGCATACCTTAGAGCTCAAATCAACATCATTGCTCCTCAGTTATTTGGAGAGATTCCTGACTTCAGATTTTGCCAGGGCAATATCTCTCTTGACTGCTAGTATCAAATGTACTGATTGTGGATCCAAGTAACATGAAGTCGTTGACAGTTTCAACCTTTTCTTCAACTATCATCATGTTGTCTATCAGGCCAGTGGTAAGAATGTCTGTTTTCTTGATGTTGAGATGCAATCCATATTAAAGGTTGTAGTCTTGATCCTCTGCAGCAAGCACAGTAAGTCCCCCTTACTGTCAACAAGCAAGATTGTGTCATCTGCATAATGAAGGTAATTGATGAGTCTTCCTCCAATCCTAATTCCCCATTCTTCTTCATAGAGTCCAGCTTCTCAAATAATTTGCTCAGCATACAGATTGAATAGGTATGGAGAAATGATCCAACCCTGACATACACCTTTACTAATTTTAAACCATGTGGTGTTGTCTTGCTCTGTTTGGACAATAGCATCTTGATCTAGATATAGGTTTCACATGTGCACAATTAAGTGTTTGGATTCCGATTCTTCTCAATCTTAGCCCATAACTTGTTATGATCTACACACTTAAATACCTTTGCATAGTAAATAAAGCACAAATAGACATTCTTCTGGTATTATTTACTTTCAGCCAGGATCCATCTAACATCAGCAATGAGATTCTGGTGTCTTTACTGATAGGATCTCATATAATATTATTGTTTTAGATATATTATATCTATGGGCCTAAGATGTGAGCTCATACTTTGGGTATGTTGCTAGGAGAGGCTACTCCTTTCAAGGGCCATCATTTTTGGAAAGGTAGAGAGACAGTGAAAGAGAGGAAGACACTCAACCAGATGGATAGACACTGCATCTGCAGTAATGGTTCAGGTATGACAGAGATGATGAGGACGGCACAGGATAGGACAGGGTACAAGTCTATTGTTCATAGGGATGCTATGAGTCACACTGATGGCACCTAACAAAAACACTACTGACACATCTACAGGTATACAGGCTAATATATGTTTTTGAAGACATAGTTTTTCCATAATAACTAAACTTATTGCCATTGAGTTGGAACCAACTTGTACCTGATCCTCTAGCAGGTTTCCGAGGCTGTTATCTCATGCAGGAGGAGATTGCCCATATTTCCCCCCCCCCCATATTTTTTTAGTGAAGCTTCTGGTGAACAGAATCTACTAGAGAGGCATGACCTTTGGCTTGGCAGTACACCTTTCTAGAGACGATGACATAAGAGTCCACCTTTCCAAAGCAAGGGATGTTGTTGTTGATTGCCATTGAGTTGAGCACGACTCTCATAGCGACCCTATGAACAAAAGACCTGAAGCCTCTCTACAACTATCGGCATTTATCAAAGTTCATAGAGTTTCCAGAGGCATGTTGTTTAGGAAGTGGATGCCACTCATGCTTCCAAACCTGTCATAGTATGTTATTGTTATGTGGCATTGAGTTGCCTGCGATGTATAGAGACCTGATGTACAGCAGCTCTGAATCCTTCCCTGTCCTGAGCCAATTTCACTAACTCTGACACACTAACCCCCCATTCCCCCAGTCACTGTATCAATCTATCTCATCCAGTCTTCCTCTCCTGCGCTGTCCGTCCACCCTTCCAAACATGATGTCCTCCTCCAAGGACCAGTCTCTCCTGGCCACGTGTCCAAAGTAAGTGGGACAGAGTTTCAAAATCCTAGCCTCCAAGGAGAAACTTGTTTCACCCTCTCCAAGACAGATTCACTATTTTCTTGGCAGTCCATGGTATGTTCAAGACTCTTCTCCAGCATCACAACTCAAAGGCATCTATTCTTCTTCTGTCATCCTTAGTCATTGTCCAACTCTCTGAAGCATAACAAGTAATTGAGAAGACCATGGCCTGGATTAGGCTCATCTTTGTATCTAGACTGACATCATTGCTCTTCAGCGCTCTGGAGAGGTCCATGACAGCAGATTTTCCCAGTACAATTTGTCTTGATTTCCTGATTGCTAGTGCTAAGAGCACTAGCTCAGATTGTGGATCTGAAAAAGCTGTAATTGCTAAGAACTTAAATATCTTCCCCATATATGATGGTGCTGCCAATTGGCTCAGAGGTGAGAATCTTTCTTCATGATGTTGAACTTCATTCCATATTGAAGACTACAGTCCTTGATCTTTTGCAGCAAGTGCTTCAGGTCTTCTTCATTTTCAGCAAGCAATTGTGTCATCTGCATATTATAAGTTGTTAATGAGCCTTCCTCCAATCTTGATGCCACACTCCTCCTTATAAAGCTCTACTTCCCAAATGATCTGTTCTGCATACAGATTGAAAAGGTACGGGGACAGGATGCATCCCGGATGCACTCCTTTCCTGATTTTGAACCATGCAGTGTTTCCTTGCTCTGTTCTGAGGACTGCTTGTTGGTCCAAGTATAGATTTTGTATAAGCACAATCAAGTGTTCTGAGATTCCCATTTTCCTCAAGGTTATCCATAATTTGTTGTGATCCACATAGTCAAATGCCTTTGCATAATCAATGAAACACAGATAGACATTCTTCTGGTACTCTCTGCTCTCTGCCAAGATCCATTGGACATTGGCAATAATGTCCCTAGTGCCATGAACTCATCTAAACCCAGCTTGTATTTCTGATAGCTACCATAAGTAAATAAAATGAAGAACACACAGTGTTTGCTTGTAATGGCTGATAGCATCCTTCCTTACCTCTCTATATATGTCTAATGGGGGCTGAGTGGTTTGAACCAATGACTTTCTAGATAAGAGTAATTTAAATGGAAAACATTGATATTTGTTCCCATTCCAAAGAAAGGTGACCCAACAGAGTGTGGAAATTATCGAACAATATCATTAATATCACATGCAAGCAAGATTCTGCTGAAAATTATCCAAAAACGATTGGAGCAACATGTTAATAGAGAACTGCCAGATGTGCAGGCTGGATTTAGAAGAGGCCGTAGTACTAGGAATATTATAGCTAATGTTAGATGGATCTTGGCAGAAAGCAGAGAGTACCAGAAGAGTGTCTA